CGCCTCCGGGTCGGGCGCGCCGGACGACGACGACGACGACGTCGACTGCGCGCGCAGGCGCCCCGACGTGCGCAGCAGCTCCTTCATGTCAGCCAGCTCCTCCGTCACGTCGCTCCCTGCGCACACCGCCACCAACGGCATTAATACACGATTGATTGATTCATTGATTCATTGACTCATTGAGTAATTGATTCATGGGTTGATTCATTGATTGATTGATTCATTGATTGATTGATTCATTGATTTATTCATTAATTCGTTTATTTATTCTTTGATTTGTCGATTGATTATTCGATTGATTGATTTGTTGATTGAATATTTGATTGATTAATTTGTTGATTGATTTTCTGATTCATTGAATGTTTGATTCATTGCTTTATTGATTCATCGATTGAATGATTAATTTATTGAGTCATTGATTGGTTAGTGAACACGAGCACGTCAACTGCGCCGACCTACGTCGTCTTGCAGGGCTTTTCCTCAAACAGGTATCTCCCAATAGCTGTGCAAACTGTAATCTTCCTGTAAGTGTTATATTGCATTTGCGCATGTGAGTAGCACTCTGTGTAAATAAGAGGGTTGAAAGATCGCTCGCGGCCCTTAACCCATTTGTGAGGGTACTGCTCCAGCATTGTTGATCGGAGGAACCACAGAAAACTACCGATCAGAGAAGCCGGCCGCTAGAATTCTCCTCCAGACAGCAGCAACTGAATTCGAACAGGCTGTCAAACTAGTGTAGAAAATCCTGACAACGGTGGGACCTCCCGGTCACAGGCACTGAAATGACATCAGTTGGTGCCCTTAGCCACCTTTGCCAATGTGGGTAATACAGTCGACTCGAGTTAGAGGGATGAGATTGATATTCTGGGAATATTAAACTGAATTCACTGGTCACACCTGAATACAATGTGAATACGCAATAGAAGATTCGGAATGTTCTATTATGAGATATATAGACCAAAGTTCAACAGATAATAGAGTAAGTAAAGCAACGTAAGCTCTCACGGCCGATTCACAAGTAGATTTATTTTCCGGATTGGAGGGCCCTGCTCTATTGGAAACATGATTTCCAATAGACCGCGGCCCTCCAGCCCGTAAAATAATTCTAATAGTAGTGCAAGTGTCTAAATACACACTTATACTACTGTCTGTTAAAGTTTGGTTAATAATTGAACATTCCATTGATTACGCAGACAGAGAAAGGTATTTTCTCCATTACACATAGTAAATACAACTTCCTAAAGAACAAATCACCTGAGTACTGCGAATTCACGCAATTCAATTAAAGGATTGCATGTAGAGGTTCTCGTGAGTTATATATGTAACGTTATGGAAAACCGTGCGAGTGAGGGAATTGCTTCAGTTCATCAATGGCAGTTCTATCCAGCCTGAATATTTCACTAACTCGGAAATTTAAAATTATAATGAAAACCGAGTAACATTGAACGCCTCTCAGAGGTGCAGAAAATTAGCTACTAAAGCTTCTAAATTATGCGCCGTTGGTCCCGAGTAGGAGGGTATTTTAAAAGTTCTCAGAAAAGTTATTCGAGTGTGTTTAAATAGTAAGGCCGTTTTTTATTTAAAAAATTGCTAAAAAATTAAAATACGTGTTTCTTAGGATAGTTACAGTTTCTTACAGAGAGTATCCAGGCTTGTCCGCACCAAATTCAAACCACGGCGCAAAATATTTGAAAATTTAATCCATTAGATAGGCGTTACACAATTGTTTATGTAGGATACAATTGTAATTACGGTTACTCATATCTCATTGATCATGTTCCGAGTCAACTTGCGTAAATGCATTTCGCAAGAGGCTGGCATCCGCCGTGCATGACGCTTTGCTGAGCTTAAAAACTTTAGAATGCTGGGAAATTACCACCTTTATGTCGCTGGCTACGTGGCTAGGAAAATTTTGTCTATTCTTTAGTTCTAGAGATCTCATACGTCCCATTTTCCCCCGGACAGTCCTGGATAATTAACCTTTCTTCCGGTGTCCCGAGTAATCACTTCGGAACGCTAAAATGTCCCTGTCTTTAACGAAGAAAAAAAATGCGTGGCATTGAATTTCCCGATGAAATATTGGTTAGAAAGATTTGTTCGTTCGTTTGCGTTATTCCCGTCTGTTATTCTGTTTAGTGGTGAGTGTTAAGTTAGTATTCAAAATATTTGCGGGCAATTTAATAAAATATTAGTTCAATAAAAAATTCCCTGGAGAAAGTGTGATTTCAGTGAAATTTTAATGGAACAGTTTCTATTTATAAAAGAAACTACTGACCTCCAAGTAGTAAGTGGAATGTAATATCTGCCTTGCGGTTTCCAACTTCCCAATTTTTTTAAAAAGGTTTTTTTTAAATTAAACCAAAAAGCATTGCAATTAAAGGAAGATACTCTTATTTCTCATTCTATAATTTTTCCCTTCATTCACATAATAATCATCTATTTTTAGATGATCATGTGTCACAATGGCATCAGAAGTTCAAGTATCCCTCACCCTCATTAATTAAACGGAAGTATGTAAATAATTTTCACCAAATTGTCGACCACCAAAATTGTAACGATCGTATATTGCCAATATTTTAGTCACGTGACAGATGTCATATCTGCTACTAAGCAAACGGAACGCAAATTTGGCCACCTATTTGAGTAGTTTCCTTGCATATCGGGTCAGACATTCTGACAAAATCACAATTCAGTAGGTTTAATGGGAATATCTTGGCTCCAGATGTGACCTGCCGGTAACTCGATGCGTTAAGTACTGAAAAATTGGAGAAGGGATTAGAAAGAAGCGACTATTTGGCACGAGTAGTCTACCGATCCAAAGATGATCATCTTGAGGAAAGAAACACTTTTCTTTGATTGATCACTTATTACGTAATGTTGGTAGTAGTTAAAAAGAAACATTGAAATTACGTGATTGCAAAATACATGCTAAGTGCGGATGAAATTGTTCAGAAGTAAGAACAGGGAAGAAGTAAATACAGTGAAAAAAGTAAGCACGGTTGTATACTATGGAACATTTGTTCTCAGCAGTTTCCAGGCGAACTGTAATTGTGGCGTTAAGCCCACTACAATTTCGAATGGGTGTTGAAAGTACATACTTAGTTGAGTTTGAATGGTATTGTGTCAGAATGATATTTGCAATAATGCAAAAGTTAAGCATAATATACTTAACGCATTCTATTTCATCTGTCATTTTTATCCATCAATTCCAATTATGTTTTAAGACTTACGAGGCGGGGATATTAAAGTATATTGAATGAATTTTGTTATTAATTATTTTCACTAATCTATTATTTTCTGCGTTGGACATTGATGTTTCTTTTTTGCCTTCGTTGCTCTGAATTGGTCAGAAATACTGTTACAAATGAGGTTCTCATTTGTTGGAAATGGTTATTGGATCAATAGACTTCGCGTCTGTATGTTATGAATAAAGGTGATTGATTGAAACGCAGTCATTCTGATCAGCCGTCATATATGTTGCACTTTTCGACGCTGCTTCCGATTTGTATACGACTCGGGGAGTGCGGGTATTTGGAAGTTTCAATTTTTTCTAGTCCCTTATCTGCGAGAAATGAAATGTCCCGTAATCCTGAGTTTTCAGTCATACATTTCGTGTGTCCATTGCCCTGCGGTATTCACGAAACATAAAATTAATGATTGTATTTTCGATTCCCGTGCTTCCCAAATTTTGTTAAAAGGAACTTTTCTCCGTAGTTTCTGTATTACGGGATGGCCCCAGTGATCTGAGTTTCATTACAGTCGAAATATTTTGAAGGTTTAGAAAATATCTAGTGGCAATTTTATATGCAAGAAAGGGTTTTCGTATGACGAATCGACTTTATCTCACTTGAAAATTCAATTGTCAAAAACTGCCAACTTTGAGAAAACCTGTGATAGGTTACAACAAAACAACGCTTACTTTGGATTTCTTCAAATATTGAATCTTTGGTTTGTTGGTGAAAATTGTATTGTAATTGATTTCACTGAAAATTAAAATTGCATAACTTGCTTGAAAACAGGAACTTTGGTAGTCACACTGAACTGATTGTCATTAGGTAAACAATTTAAAATGTTTTTTCTAGTCCCATCATATAATTCTCGTTTTAGATCGCTGGAGGTCGTTTTACAATGATAGTCAATACGATACAGCTCCATTATACGCCAGGTTGTTGACCAATCACATCCATGTTTACAATCCAAGCATTGATACGTAATTAATCATTTGCCGTCGTTCTAGTGTTTTCGTTCTAGAGACGACCAGCTGGGATGTATCCGCAAGACAGTCAAAAAACTGAAATGCTGAACCGAAGAGAATTATCTATAAAATTATCACCACCCCAAGTACGAGAAGAGATTCAATTTATACTTGTTTTCATTTGTATGAATTGCATTGTACGAAATTCGATGTAATTGGTGATTTACTACACTTATTTACCATCATTTCATCTTATCATCATCATCATCATTTCATCATCACAAGACCGTTTCATTACTAACTTCAACACTACAAATAATGTTACATTTATTTTAAACCTTCACAAAAAATTAATAATTTTTGCATTCAACAACTTTTACATGTTTGCATTAGAAACGATCCGTGTATGAATATTCCTCCAAAACGTTTGTGAAACGCTAGTTTATCAGATAGTTAGATATAGAGCGGATATACACCACATTTTAAACGGGGAGCGAAAACAATGCGCCATGAACTGAAATCGCACCTCGGCGAGTCTCGCTTTGTATAGTGCATTGTGTAGGAATATGATTCAGTCCGTGACCTACATTTAACACCAAGAACAGACGTTGGTACGAGTGACGACTCATAAAGTCTCTGAGTGGCAGCAATGCGGGTAGTTGTTCCTTTCTCGTGTTGCCGTTGGTCGCAGTATGACGTGTCATGTGCTCATCTAGCTTTCAGAGGGGAAACTGAAGGAAATACGTGATTGGATTAGTAGGGAGCACAATTTAACGTAGAGACGTAACCACTCATAGTTGTCATTTTGTTGCTTCAGCTAAGCAGATTAAAGTTTTTGTTAATAAAAATGTAAAAAGAATATATGAAATCTATCGAATTTGCTGAGAGAGAGTGTTCCAAGCAAAATATTTGGCTCAAAGACCACGGTGTACACTGTTCATTTTGCATAGTGAGTTGTGCAACGACCAAAAAGAGCTCTGCCGTAAACGATCAGAGTATTTATTTCGATTACGTAAAATTGATAGTATTAATTCTTCGCGTTTTTCGCTTTAGCATGATCTGATTGTAAATAAAATATGAAGAAAAGGCAACAGTAGACGTCAATTTTCGTTCGCGGATAAGCTTTGCAGACATTCTTGGCTTTCTATGGAGGGAAAATCGACTTAAATGTGTACAATTTAGTGTTGATTTTTCTCTTTTCATAGCCAGCATCACTTTCATCAGCTTCATAAATTTGTTTGCATTATCGAAACATTCAAGTTTATTTCTTTAGTTCTTTATTATTCGCTGTCGGAACATTACTGACTGCAACTGAATATTATAAATTTTCCAGAGTGGCAGAATCGCTTGGATTGAATTTGATAAGTATTTTTTTCTTTGAGTGGGAGATTTGATATTTAGAATATATTAGGGTCGATAACTTTTAGAAAACATAAAGGACGCGGCTTTTCATAGAAAGCTATAATTGACAAATATCACTGGAATTGTGAAAATGTATGCTTTAATCCCATATGTTATCGTGAAAATGCCTATTTTAAAAATAAATGTTTAATTAATGAGAGTAATTTGAAAATTAAGTCTCTGGTATCTCGTCAGTCCATACGGATATGGATTGGAACTGTGGAAAAGGCTTTGCGGTTGAGTATTATGTCATTTCGTGATGGATCAGTCTCGATAATAACGGTGTTTCTCTGAAGTGAAATAACAGCACATTTACAAAGAATTATCACACAATTAATACAGGTGTAGATGTACTACACTAGCTCTTAATATTTTTTTTCGATTTGATTTGTCGTGAGTCCTCTTTTAAATGTTAAACAATCTTGTGTTTTTGTTTATTTTTCTGCATAATAGATATGATGAATTAACAAAAAATAGCTATTTAAGGAACTAAAACCTCTTTACCGGGAAAGAAGAGATAAAGTTGAAGTTAACGCAAAAACTTACGTAAGGTTCATATCATAGATTACCAGATTGCAGCAGCGTTTGTGCCGTTCAACATTGCCGATTGGAAAAAGAGCTCGGTTTTTAACTTTGCCGTAGCGCAGATTGGTTTTATTATCATCTTCTATTCGGTGTGTGAAATATATACGAGTAAATATAAAACAACAATTACATATGAACGTCAGTAACTTTTTTTATTCTTTAAAATATTCAATTTTCTCTGATATTTATATAATCATTGTAGCCTGAAGATCGGGGGAAAATCTGTCTTTGATACGTTCCAGAACAAACATTGAGTAAGTAATGAAGATTAAAAACTTTTATGTTTAAAATTCTGTGATTCTGAGTTATTTTATATAGCTGTTTTTAAACCGTCTGTCAGAAAATTTGGGGTCAAACACATCAAATAAAACATTAACAGCACCAAAAATAAAATAGAAATACTTCACGTATCCACACAATGTGTGATGCCTATACGTGACGAAACATCTCAAATGCTCTAGTAGATTTAAAGTATAAACTCAGTTAATACTCTTTTTTAGAAATTATAGACGCTCAGGAAATCTGCTTGTCCTCTTGGGCAGATAGAAAGACGATACGAGAAACCTATCACAGGGACAGGGCATTACCCAGCCGGAGCAAATGACGTGCCGCACTAAAATCCCAAATGTTCAATCAGTCCGCACAAGTTAATGCCCCAGGACAAGGTGGGACATTTTTTTGTCGTTGAACGACGAAGATGTAATAAAAAGAAAAGGAAATCAAACAGGAAGAATCTGAAATTCATGGCGTGGTGTCGTGCTTCATTGAATGAGGAGTGTGACGAGCTCTTCAACCCACGCTCTCGCCAGGCCCCTCTTCTTCTGAAGAGCAAGTTAACGACTGTCCATTAAAAAGGCGCTCCGCGGGCGGAACTGAAGGGAAGACCGCGCGCTTTAACGCCTGCGTGGGAGAGGAGCGCCATCGCCGGGGCCTGCGAAGGAGCGAGGGCACCAGGGAGAGGGCAAGGGAGAGGGCAAGGATGTGGAGCGAGGAGGTCGAGGCGGAGGGCGACGCGAGGGCGAGGGAAATGGTGAGAGGGAGGAGGAGGGGAGGGCGAGGTGAAGGCGCGGAGTAGGGCGAGGAGGAGGGTGTTGAGGAGGGCGCGGAGGAGGGCGCGGAGGAGGGCGAGG